AGGCGTCTTGTTCCTCTCCTCCCACTTTTTAGTTCCCGGACGGAGTGCGCGGAGAAAGGTGCGGGGTGACATTCCTAGGCGGGCCAGCCCTCCGAGGGGGTGTGATCGCTCGCAACAGTAAGGCCTCCCGAGTCTGACAGCAGGTCGGTTGCAGAGAAGCGGCTTGAATATATAGCGTTTTTTTCTCCACGTCGTTCCTCACCTGGATCAAAATGAAAGATTTTCCAGCTGAAAGCATGGGCTCCTTTCAAGTTGTTCTCCTTCCCCTCTCCATGCTACTGTTCTCCATACTCTTTTACAAGAGTAATACGTTCAATAAATAAATACATTTTAGTAATTCCATACAACTTAATTCTTTGTGTCTTGACTAAAAAAAAACTTATTTGTTTTTTGACAACTTATATCTGTTTCTTATCTATCCTGGTGTGGAAGGATACTGACCCCTTCCCTACTTCAAAGGTTCCCTCCCCCATCTAACTACACAAAAGAATACTTTTTTTTAATGTTTAGCAGAAAAGTTTAGTCTTAGTTAATCAGTGCATGTATAAAACTGATAATTGGAAATAGAGTGAAAGCTAAGAAAATATAGAGTGAAAATACTGCTTGTCAAAATCCTTTTCTTGCTGCTTTATCTTGTCAAAAAGCCAACTTATTATCTAGCCACGGTACAAATGTACCCTGGCAGCTTCCTTATTCTGCAATGTACCACCCATGAGTGAGTCAGGCTTAAGTCATCCTTACCTACCTAGGTTTTAAGATAGTGTTTTGCCATTTATGCCAGCAACAACCTACAACAAGAACAAGCACTTTGCTGTTTTATTGTGTATTTAGGTGATTGTAGAGGAAGAAGGACAGTATAGCACCTATTGACCATTCCTTTTCCCTAAGATCTTGGGCTTTTCCCGCTTACACTTTCCATCTTTCCCCTTCTCAGGTGAGGTACAAAACCCACAGCCCATCAAGCAGCATCTGAGGAAGCAACCACAGATTTTGAGATAACAAACTTGGAAATGCAGTATTTCTGATAGATGGCTATATTTACATATCTAGCCATCTAACAAAAGCACCAGCCAATTCCACCTGTCCCAGTAATTATGGATGTTGAGAAAGGGATGGACAGCAGAACCAGACGGTTTAACTAATACAGAGTGTTCAATCCTCTACATACGCAAAAGCCCGATACCATAATTTGGTGGCAAGCCAGAGCAGATAGTATGGGGTAAGAAAGGGATTGGCAATGGCCCAGAAAGTTTTATGCCAGATTCAGCAAGCTACTGAGCCACCTCTGCTATATTTTTCCTGCTTTGTGTCAGTGAAATATGACAAATGACATGGAAGGCTGCAGGTTCCCATGGGCTCAGTAGTTTGAGATCACTCTTTTAATGGAGAAAGAGGCTCATTCTTTAGACGTTCAGTTCAAGTCTTGGCAACCTAGCCAATCTGAAATGTCTAAATATAAAGTAGGTAAAAAGATGCACATTTCTGTTATTAGAAATACTGAATTTGGGGACTTGACTCTTCAAACATTAATTATACCTAGCATGGGCAAAAATGAAGGATGTCAATAGTATTGGTTCAACAATATCTGGAGAGGCAGAAGTTCCCTGTGTCTGCCACAGCATATGTCCAAACTATTAGCTGAATGAACAGCAAGAGAGGCCATTCCCAAAATATGAGATGACAAATATACAGATAGTCCTTAACATGACTAAGAGTTTCTGAAGTTATGATGGATTCCCCTCCGCCCCAAAGCTACTTACAACCCATTTTCGAAGTTAAAATGGCTGCCCCCGGAGCGCCGCCGGGTCGCCTCCTCCAAGCAGCCCGCCCGCCCG